AATCAGAGCCTAGGTCAATCAGAGACTAGGTCAACCAGAGCCTAGGTCAATCGGAGCCTAGGTCAATCAGAGCCTAGGTCAACCAGAGCATAGGTCAACCAGAGCCTAGGTCAATCAGAGACTAGGTCACCCAGAGCCTAGGTCAATCAGAGCCTAGGTCAATCAGAGCCTAGGTCAATCAGAGCCTCGGTCAATCAGAGCCTAGGTCAATCAGAGACTTGGTCAACCAGAGCCTAGGTCAATCAGAGCCTAGGTCAATCAGAGACTAGGTCAACCAGAGCCTAGGTCAACCAGAGCCTAGGTCAACCAGAGCCTAGGTCAACCAGAGCCTAGGTCAACCAGAGCCTAGGTCAATCAGAGCCTAGGTCAATCAAAGACTAGGTCAACCAGAGCCTACGTCAATCAGATCCTAGGTCAATCAGAGACTAGGTCAACCAGAGCCTAGGTCAATCAGAGCCTAGGTCAATCAGAGACAAGGTCAACCAGAGCCTAGGTCAATCAGAGCCTAGGTCAATCAGAGCCTAGGTCAACCAGAGCATAGGTCAACCAGAGCCTAGGTCAATCAGAGACTAGGTCACCCAGAGCCTAGGTCAATCAGAGCCTAGGTCAATCAGAGACTAGGTCAACCAGAGCCTAGGTCAATCAGAGCCTAGGTCAATCAGAGACTAGGTCAACCAGAGCCTAGGTCAATCAGAGCCTAGGTCAATCAGAGCCTAGGTCAATCAGAGACTAGGTCAATCAGAGCCTAGGTCAACCAGAGCCTAGGTCAACCAGAGCCTAGGTCAATCAGAGCCTAGGTCAATCAAAGACTAGGTCAACCAGAGCCTAGGTCAATCAGAGCCTAGGTCAATCAGAGACTAGGTCAACCAGAGCCTAGGTCAATCAGAGCCTAGGTCAATCAGAGACTAGGTCACCCAGAGCCTAGGTCAATCAGAGCCTAGGTCAATCAAAGACTAGGTCAACCAGAGCCTAGGTCAATCAGAGCCTAGGTCAATCAGAGACTAGGTCAACCAGAGCCTAGGTCAATCAGAGCCTAGGTCAATCAGAGCCTAGGTCAATCAGAGACTAGGTCACCCAGAGCCTAGGTCAATCAGAGCCTAGGTCAATCAGAGACTAGGTCAACCAGAGCCTAGGTCAATCAGAGCCTAGGTCAATCAGAGACTAGGTCAACCAGAGCCTAGGTCAATCAGAGCCTAGGTCAATCAGAGCCTAGGTCAACCAGAGCCTAGGTCAACCAGAGCCTAGGTCAATCAGAGACTAGGTCACCCAGAGCCTAGGTCAACCAGAGCCTAGGTCAATCAGAGACTAGGTCAACCAGAGCCTATGTCAATCAGAGCCTAGGTCAATCAGAGACTAGGTCAACCAGAGCCTAGGTCAATCGGAGCCTAGGTCAATCAGAGCCTAGGTCAACCAGAGCATAGGTCAATCAGAGCCTAGGTCAATCAGAGCCTAGGTCAATCAGAGACTAGGTCAACCAGAGCCTAGGTCAATCGGAGCCTAGGTCAATCAGAGCCTAGGTCAACCAGAGCATAGGTCAATCAGAGCCTAGGTCAATCAGAGACTAGGTCAACCAGAGCCTAGGTCAATCAGAGCCTAGGTCAATCAGAGCCTAGGTCAACCAGAGCCTAGGTCAACCAGAGCCTAGGTCAATCAGAGACTAGGTCACCCAGAGCCTAGGTCAATCAGAGCCTAGGTCAATCAGAGACTAGGTCAATCAGAGCCTACGTCAATCAGAGCCTAGGTCAATCAGAGACTAGGTCAATCAGAGACTAGGTCAACCAGAGCCTAGGTCAATCAGAGCCTAGGTCAATCAGAGACTAGGTCAACCAGAGCCTAGGTCAATCGGAGCCTAGGTCAATCAGAGCCTAGGTCAACCAGAGCATAGGTCAACCAGAGCCTAGGTCAATCAGAGACTAGGTCACCCAGAGCCTAGGTCAATCAGAGCCTAGGTCAATCAGAGCCTAGGTCAATCAGAGCCTCGGTCAATCAGAGCCTAGGTCAATCAGAGACTTGGTCAACCAGAGCCTAGGTCAATCAGAGCCTAGGTCAATCAGAGACTAGGTCAACCAGAGCCTAGGTCAACCAGAGCCTAGGTCAAGCAGAGCCTAGGTCAACCAGAGCCTAGGTCAACCAGAGCCTAGGTCAATCAGAGCCTAGGTCAATCAAAGACTAGGTCAACCAGAGCCTACGTCAATCAGATCCTAGGTCAATCAGAGACTAGGTCAACCAGAGCCTAGGTCAATCAGAGCCTAGGTCAATCAGGGACAAGGTCAACCAGAGCCTAGGTCAATCAGAGCCTAGGTCAATCAGAGCCTAGGTCAACCAGAGCATAGGTCAACCAGAGCCTAGGTCAATCAGAGACTAGGTCACCCAGAGCCTAGGTCAATCAGAGCCTAGGTCAATCAGAGACTAGGTCAACCAGAGCCTAGGTCAATCAGAGCCTAGGTCAATCAGAGACTAGGTCAACCAGAGCCTAGGTCAATCAGAGCCTAGGTCAATCAGAGCCTAGGTCAATCAGAGACTAGGTCAATCAGAGCCTAGGTCAATCAGAGACTAGGTCAACCAGAGCCTAGGTCAACCAGAGCCTAGGTCAATCAGAGACTAGGTCAACCAGAGCCTAGGTCAATCAGAGCCTAGGTCAATCAGAGCCTAGGTCAACCAGAGCCTAGGTCAACCAGAGCCTAGGTCAATCAGAGCCTAGGTCAATCAAAGACTAGGTCAACCAGAGCCTAGGTCAATCAGAGCCTAGGTCAATCAGAGACTAGGTCAACCAGAGCCTAGGTCAATCAGAGCCTAGGTCAATCAGAGACTAGGTCACCCAGAGCCTAGGTCAATCAGAGCCTAGGTCAATCAAAGACTAGGTCAACCAGAGCCTAGGTCAATCAGAGCCTAGGTCAATCAGAGACTAGGTCAACCAGAGCCTAGGTCAATCAGAGCCTAGGTCAATCAGAGCCTAGGTCAATCAGAGACTAGGTCACCCAGAGCCTAGGTCAATCAGAGCCTAGGTCAATCAGAGACTAGGTCAACCAGAGCCTAGGTCAATCAGAGCCTAGGTCAATCAGAGACTAGGTCAACCAGAGCCTAGGTCAATCAGAGCCTAGGTCAATCAGAGCCTAGGTCAACCAGAGCCTAGGTCAACCAGAGCCTAGGTCAATCAGAGACTAGGTCACCCAGAGCCTAGGTCAACCAGAGCCTAGGTCAATCAGAGACTAGGTCAACCAGAGCCTATGTCAATCAGAGCCTAGGTCAATCAGAGACTAGGTCAACCAGAGCCTAGGTCAATCGGAGCCTAGGTCAATCAGAGCCTAGGTCAACCAGAGCATAGGTCAACCAGAGCCTAGGTCAATCAGAGACTAGGTCACCCAGAGCCTAGGTCAATCAGTGCCTAGGTCAATCAGAGCCTAGGTCAATCAGAGCCTCGGTCAATCAGAGCCTAGGTCAATCAGAGACTAGGTCAACCAGAGCCTAGGTCAATCAGAGCCTAGGTCAATCAGAGACTAGGTCAACCAGAGCCTAGGTCAACCAGAGCCTAGGTCAACCAGAGCCTAGGTCAACCAGAGCCTAGGTCAACCAGAGCCTAGGTCAATCAGAGCCTAGGTCAATCAAAGACTAGGTCAACCAGAGCCTAGGTCAATCAGAGCCTAGGTCAATCAGAGACTAGGTCAACCAGTGCCTAGGTCAATCAGAGCCTAGGTCAATCAGAGACTAGGTCAACCAGAGCCTAGGTCAATCAGAGCCTAGGTCAATCAGAGCCTAGGTCAACCAGAGCATAGGTCAACCAGAGCCTAGGTCAATCAGAGACTAGGTCACCCAGAGCCTAGGTCAATCAGAGCCTAGGTCAATCAGAGACTAGGTCAACCAGAGCCTAGGTCAATCAGAGCCTAGGTCAATCAGAGACTAGGTCAACCAGAGCCTAGGTCAATCAGAGCCTAGGTCAATCAGAGCCTAGGTCAACCAGAGCCTAGGTCAACCAGAGCCTAGGTCAATCAGAGACTAGGTCACCCAGAGCCTAGGTCAATCAGAGCCTAGGTCAATCAGAGACTAGGTCACCCAGAGCCTAGGTCAATCAGAGCCTAGGTCAATCAGATCAGAGCCTAGGTCAACCAGAGCCTAGGTCAGCCAGAGCCTAGGACAGTGACAGCAGGGTGAATTAGCAGCACGGGAAGGGGCCAGGCTAACAACGCGGTTGGTGACAGCCTGAGTTGGGTCATAGGCTTGGACAGTCATTGCATGGGTGAGTGACAGCGTGACTCCGTGAACCGGGGCGAAAGTAGCAATGCCAAGAGGGGCAACGAATGCGTCAAGGGGCTCTGCTAGTCTCTTGGCAGTATGCAGAATCCGTAAGCAACTCCGTGTGTAACCAACAGTTGCGCATTGACCCCCTCTGCCAGAACTACGAGCACCATGACTTTTGAGTTGTGCGCCTCAGGCTTGCAAGGCTTGAAAGCGAAGGTCTGACTGGGGAAAGAAAGGGGAGGCTTACCTCTATTTAGGGTTTCTTATACTATCGTGTTTCCGCGGCTCGAAGAGACTCAGAGGCGGCGCGGTGCGTCGATCTGCAGCGCGTGGTGCGTGATGGCGCGGCGCGGCAATTTCGAAAGTGTTGCGACGGAAGGAAACGAGCGGGCCAATAATAGTGACGAGAGCACTGGATGCGCGGAGTATAGTACGAGTGGCGAAGAATGGCGTCGCCGTGAGTCGTACTTGTTTCGTAGAAGCGATTCGAGTCAACTTCTCTTGCGATGGGAGATAGCGCGCTTGCAATGTAGTACGCCTACTATGCGTCACGGCTAGCACATACTAGTGTTAGCTGAACATAGCTTGAGTAGGAAGGAGCATATGGGATCAAATTATGACCTGGTACTCGAATTTCGAGTTTGCCTCCAATCGCGATTGTTTTCAAGTTACCACCCATTTTCCGCGATGAACTATCTGTTCACAAAATTCATTAACTTCGCGAAGCGAAATGCCAAACAAGCAGGCCCTGTGACTCAGATTCGATGCCTGAGTTCGTGAGGTACCAGTTACACATTTCAAATCAAGTTCGTTCATTTGACCGACATTTGCACGGTTACCCCCCACATGCCTTTCGTCAGCTTCGTACTTGAAACGAGGCATCAACTGGAAATACCACGCATCTGAACTAGTGTCGTAGAATAGGCTCCAGTGCTGCTGTCACAATGTTGGGCACACATATGCTCACACTCATCCCACCACCGTAGTTCCTGCAGAAACTACGAGTCGCGTTTCTATGCTTTAAAAGCGTGTATAATATTCCTCGTTTCACTTAGTATCAGTTAGCAGTTAGTATCGGTTAGTATCAGTGAGCGGGATAGAAATCATCCTTTCCATCGGTATCTTATCTATCCCTCTTTTTACCGCTCGCACTCGCTTCTTTTTTTTTTTCAAAGCCATCGCATTCTCTCGCTTCTATTTTTTCACAACTCCGTATTTCGGATCGTTTGGCGTGTCTGGTGCCTGTTGCGGAGCTCAGAGCCAAGTGTCTGCGCTAGTCTCTTACCACACGTTTCAATCTTCCAAACCCTAGAAACAGGTAAGGCTGGTCCCGTCATTGCATTCATTTCGGCTTGCACGCCAGCCACGACCATCCATCCTCAGATTCCTCCTTTCGCCGATGCTCCCAACCTCTGTTTCTCTCATCCTCGCACTACATCCCCACCGTCTATTCCACGTTCCCATAGCTTAGCACACTAGGGAAAAGCGTGATAGTCATGCATAATTTCTCACGCTTCCGAAAGCAGTGCACACTGAATGCCAATGGGGTAATCACTTGGTAAGGAATCGCCAAGAAGGGACGTGTGACCAGACATAGCTGCCGCAAGTCCCGTTACCTCACATCCATGTGTTTTCCATTATCCCTTGAATCCCCACCACTCCATCCACTCAGTTTCAAGAACAGCTATTAGTTGGGAAACGTCTTTTCCGCTAGAGATGTGTTAGCTCGCATTTCCTCTACCAGGCTCCTCTCTTAGTTAAGCTCGCACCTCTGATTTTCAGTTCCACTGCTTGGATGTAGTCACGAGCAGTGGATGAGGCCAAGTATACTCACCTTATTTTGGTTTGCGTTGCTTAACAGCTAGATGTCTACTCGCATTGGGTGCCTTCCCTCTCCGCCGCCTTGTTGATCGCCTTGAGGAGCTAGAATACCATCTTGCTAGCAACTCCCGCCTCATCCTCAGCACCCATGCGGAATCTCACCCTGCTCTGCCAGAGAATCCACCCTGCCCCCTCTCATGCCCACCTGGAAACCCACACTCCCTGCCACACATAAGGATCACCCTGTCTAGCTGAGCAAGTTAAAAAAAAAACGATATGCTTTTGCAAGTGGTGCAGGGGCCAACATGAAATCTGTATTTGTAAGCCCCCCCCCCCCCCCCCCCCCCCCCCCCCCCCCCCCCCCCCCCCCCCCCCCCCCCCCCCCCTTCCCCCCCCCTCCCCCATTTCCAGTCGAATAGAGTACGGGTACTTAACTCGACAAGCAATTCTCGTCTCGCCTTGGTGGATTAAACCTATGTCACTTTCTCCTAATGTCTGCCTCCTGTGCCTCTTTTCTCTATGCATGTCCCTATACATATATGCTTTCATGCGTACCGACATCGGCATGCCACTTCAGGCGTTCCTTTGTAAGAAGGGATCTACCTGTAATATAGCAGCACGTATGGCTACAGAGAGGGAGGGGAATGAGATTGCTGAAGCACTGCGCGGACTGTTCGGTTTGGTGAGAGGGGAGCTGACAGCATTGAAAGGGGAGCTGGCCATGGTTAGGGAGCAGGTGGCCCGACAGAATGAGCGAGTGTTGATACTGGAGGAGAGGAACCAGGTTTTGGGGAATGAGGTGAATGAGTTGAGGTATGCACTGGATGTTGTGGGAGAGAGGAGTGTGGCAACTGCTGCTGTGGTTGAGGAGAGGGAGACAGCGTTGGCAACATTGACCGAGGAGCTGAATAAAGTGAAGGCAGAGCTGACTGCAGTGAAGGGGGGGCTGGCTGAACACAAGGATGTTATAACAGAGCAACTGGATATGGCTGAGAGACGAAGGGAATTGGAATTGAGAGAGCTTGGAGAGGAGGTCAGAAAGGGAGAGGATGAAATGAGAGCGGAGTTGGCAAGGGAGAGGGAGGAGAGGAGGAGGGAGGTGCAGGCGCTTGATTGGCCACGTGCCATGGAGGAATTGACAGCCTGCCGAAATTGGCAAAATTTTGAGCTGGAAATGTGCAGAAGTGATGACCGTCAGATTGATGCATGGAAGGTGAGTGCTGACCTTTATGTTCGATAGGCCATTTGTTGTTTGACTGGGCATGCATTGTTTAACTCGGCATGCATTGTTCGATAGCCCATGCATTCTTTGACATGCCATCCATTCTTTGACATGCCATCCATTGTTTGACAGGCCATGCATTGTTCCACAGGCCATGCATTGTTCCACATGCCATGCATTGTTCCACATGCCATGCATTGTTCCACATGCCATGCATTGTTCCACAGGCCATGCATTGTTCCACATGCCATGCATTGTTCCACAGGCCATGCATTGTTCCACATGCCATGCATTGTTCCACATGCCATGCATTGTTCCACATGCCATGCATTGTTCCACAGGCCATGCATTGTTCCACATGCCATGCATTGTTCCACATGCCATGCATTGTTCCACATGCCATGCATTGTTCCACATGCCATGCATTGTTCCACATGCCATGCATTGTTCAATATGCCATGGAGCGAGCTCATTGTCACGATGGTCATTCCTGTCATTAACTCCCTCCAGCGAATCAGGTCAGCATTACAAGGAATTCATTTGAATCTGGCGGATCTCCACAGCCTCTCAGACACCATCCTCAGGCATGCGTCTACAATGACTCACCTAATGAGCATAGACTTATCCTCTACCTCAGGCTTCAGTGCAGAGGGCATCAAGCACCTCTACAGGCTACCACGGCTGGAGAAGCTAAACCTCAACTGCACAGACGTCTCAGACAGCGCATTAGAAGGGATTGGATCCTCGGGCAGTCTCAAGCAGCTCTATCTCCATCGTACCAAGGTGACCAATGCTGGCCTGGCGCACTTGACAGCCCTGCCCCCCCTCGAAGTGTTATGGCTTACTGAATGCAAGGGTGTGACAAATGCTGGCATGGTGGATTTGGGTAGGCTGACAGGGCTCGAGAGCCTTGCTCTGGGTGGAACTGAAGTGTCAAATGATGGGCTACCATCACAAAAATCATATGACCAGAAACCTATTGTAAAAAGTTGTGGTGAAGTATTTTCAAATGCTTTTAAAACGTAGGGGCCAAAACGCTTTTCGGTGAAAGTATAAACATTTTTTCGAATGCTTTGTCGAATGCTTTGCAGGTGATGACATGTTTGTATTACCTTCAGATTAGGGTCTGTCTGAGTTTCTTCGGAGATGTATAAGACTTCGTTCGGAGAGTTCAGGGAGATTACTTTCCACTCATATACTCTTTAGCAGAGCTTAGGACCAAAGTTCAAGAAGATTGTATATGAACCTTTATCAAGTGATTCTCGTTGTTTGATGGAAGGTCTATTAGCCATTCTTAGGTGTACACGCACATCATGAATGCATTGCTCAATGATTATTAATCTCATTACAGAGTTGGCTTGGCACACAAAACAGCTGCCTAAACACGCGTTGCGTAGTCCTGCTAGGGTGGATTAATCTGCACCATCCTCCTACCTACTTCGCAAGCCATCATCGGATGCAGCCCCGCCCCATCTCTCCAGCTCTTGGCCTAGAGAGTTCTTGACTACAGATACTGCTCCATCTAATGCTAACCTGCACGGCTACACACTTCCTGTCTCCTCTCTTGCTTATACTCCTGTCCCCTTGCTGTCTCCACGCTGCTGCCCCCTATGCGGTCTCCTCTCATGCCTGCTCCTGCTGCTCCACATTGGGCCTCTCCTGGAACTCCCCTCTTACCTCCCGGCCTCCCCCCCCTGATGCTACTCATGCTGCCTCCACTGCTCCTCCACTACTGCCTCACATGCTGCCTCCACTGCTCCTCCGCCACCCAGGCAACCTGCAAAACGGTCGCATATTAAATATGCACTCCTCCCCTACTGCCACGGGATGTTGCCTCCCCCCTGCTGCCATTCAATGTTGCCTCCCAAGCTGCCTCCCTTTGTTGTCTCCCCTGCTGCCATTCTAGTTGCCTCCCATGCTGCCTCTCTCTGTTGCCTACCCTGCTGCTGTTCAATGTTGCCTCCCCTACCGCCTCCCTTTGTTGCCTCCCCTGCCCCTTTGTTGCCTCCCCTGCTGCCATTCTATGTTGCCTCCCATGCTGCCTCTCTCTGTTGTCTCGCCTGCTGCCATTCTATGTTGCCTCCCCTACTCCCTCTCTCTGTTGCCTACCCTGCTGCTATTTAATGTTGCCTCCCCTGCTGCCTCCCTTTGTTGCCTCCCCTGCTGCCATTCTATGTTGCCTCCCATTCTGCCTCTCTGTTGCCTCCCCTGCTGTCATTCTATGTTGCCTTCCCTGCTCCCTCTCCCTGTTGCCTCCCGTGGTGCCTTTCTCTGTTGCCTCCCCTGCTGTCATTCTATGTTGCCTTCCCTGCTCCCTCTCCCTGTTGCCTCCCGTGGTGCCTTTCTATGTTGCCTCCCCTGCTGCCTTTCCTTGTTGACTCTCGGCTTCTTACCCTTGTTGCCTATCCTGATGCCTTTCCTTTATCCATACCCGTTAAACGCCCCTGCTCTCCCCGTTAACCGATACCCTCCTGCCTCACCCGATGCCTCTCCAACTTCCTCCACTGCCACCCGTCCTGCTTGCCCCCTTGTCTGCCTGCACATCACTTTCCCCTCCTGCCACCCATGTTTTTGCCTCTCTTGTGCCTTCTGCTCCCTCTCAACTCCTTCCCCCCCTGCTCATCATCCTCCTCTTCCTCTTCCTCCTCTTCATCCTCCTCCTCATCCTCCTCATCCTCATCCTCCTCCTCCTCTTCCTCCTCTTCCTCCTCTTGCTCCTCCTCCTCCTTCTCACTGAAATCCTCTTGCTCCTCCTCCTCCTCCTCCTCCTCCTCGTTATCAGCCTGAGCCGTCCCCCGGAACGCCTGAAACCCGGACTCATGTACATAGAGCCCACGCGTGCCCCACTTGAAGCCCTGCAACTCTGCGTTGTACACGGGGGTGTGGCGTGTAAAGTGATCCCTTACAATCCTCCGCACCCCCCGAGTCAAACTCCTCATCCATCTAGTGTTTTTCCTGTGGGAGTTCGGCAGGTTCATGTTGGTCTCCTTGAAGCGCGCCAAGCCTTGATCAATCTGAAACGGGTTTGGATTACAGGGACCAGCAGCAAGGCAGAGTTGCATGTTACCGGTGTTAGCCCCCAAGGGTCCCAAGTCGTTCACGTGCAATAGAAAAGATTGAGCATTAGGGCAAGTACATGTGATTTACAAAACCAGTCTCACCACCATGAGTGACCAGGCTATGTGGTACGTCTTTAGGGCCAGCCTGCGCCCAACAGCGTAATCCCGAAATGATGCCTTCACCGCATCCACAAACCGGGCGTTGGCAAAAGGGAGCCCGGATCTGTCGTTCCCCCACGAGCTGACCCGCTCATTCCCTCCTACAAGGAGGCACAACCATGTGAGGAATCACGGGGTATGTTTTATCATCAAGTAGTGGGGCAGGCAGTGTTTGGAGGTATGTTTGGGCATCGTAAGAAGGGGCAGGCCGGGCAGAGGGGTTTGGGTGAGGATCCTGGGGTGGGGCAGGCAGGGCAGAGGGGTTCGGGTTTAGGATCCTGAGGTGGGGCAGGCAGGGCAGAGGGGTTTGGGTGAGGATCCTGAGGTGGGGCAGGCAGGGCAGAGGGGTTTGGGTTTAGGATCCTGAGGTGGGGCAGGCAGGGAAGAGGGGTTTGGGTGAGGATCCTGAGGTGGGGCAGGCCGGGCAGAGGGGTTTGGGTGAGGATCCTGAGGTGGGGCAGGCAGGGCAGAGGGGTTTGGGTGAGGATCCTGAGGTGGGGCAGGCAGGGCAGAGGGGTTTGGGTGAGGATCCTGAGGTGGGGCAGGCAGGGCAGAGGGGTTTGGGTTTAGGATCCTGAGGTGGGGCAGGCAGGGCAGAGGGGTTTGGGTGAGGATCCTGAGGTGGGGCAGGCAGGGCAGAGGGGTTTGGGCGAGGAACCTGAGGTGGGGCAGGCAGGGCAGAGGGGTTTGGGTGAGGATCCTGAGGTGGGGCAGGCAGGGCAGAGGGGTTTGGGTTTAGGGTCCTGAGGTGGGGCAGGCAGGGCAGAGGGGTTTGGGTGAGGATCCTGAGGTGGGGCAGGCAGGGCAGAGGGGTTTGGGTTTAGGGTCCTGAGGTGGGGCAGGCAGGGCAGAGGGGTTTGGGTGAGGATCCTGAGGTGGGGCAGGCAGGGCAGAGGGGTTTGGGTTTAGGGTCCTGAGGTGGGGCAGGCAGGGCAGAGGGGTTTGGGTGAGGATCCTGAGGTGGGGCAGGCAGGGCAGAGGGGTTTGGGTTTAGGATCCTGAGGTGGGGCAGGCAGGGCAGATGGGTTTGGGTGAGGATCCTGAGGTGGGGCAGGCAGGGCAGAGGGGTTTGGGTTTAGGATCCTGAGGTGGGGCAGGCAGGGCAGAGGGGTTTGTGTTTAGGATCCTGAGGTGGGGCAGGCAGGGCAGATGGGTTTGGGTGAGGATCCTGAGGTGGGGCAGGCAGGGCAGAGGGGTTTGGGTTTAGGATCCTGAGGTGGGGCAGGCAGGGCAGAGGGGTTTGGGTTTAGGGTCCTGAGGTGGGGCAGGCAGGGCAGAGGGGTTTGGGTGAGGATCCTGAGGTGGGGCAGGCAGGGCAGAGGGGTTTGGGTTTAGGATCCTGAGGTGGGGCAGGCAGGGCAGAGGGGTTTGGGTTTAGGATCCTGAGGTGGGGCAGGCAGGGCAGAGGGGTTTGGGTGAGGATCCTGAGGTGGGGCAGGCAGGGCAGAGGGGTTTGAGTGAGGATCCTGAGGTGGGGCAGGCAGGGCAGAGGGGTTTGAGTGAGGATCCTGAGGTGGGGCAGGCAGGGCAGAGGGGTTGGGGTTTAGGATCCTGAGGTGGGGCAGGCAGGGCAGAGGGGTTTGGGTGAGGATCCTGAGGTGGGGCAGGCAGGGCAGAGGGGTTTGGGTGAGGATCCTGAGGTGGGGCAGGCAGGGCAGAGGGGTTTGGGTTTAGGATCCTGAGGTGGGGCAGGCAGGGCAGAGGGGTTTGAGTGAGGATCCTGAGGTGGGGCAGGCAGGGCAGAGGGGTTTGGGTGAGGATCCTGAGGTGGGGCAGGCAGGGCAGAAGAGTTTGGGTTTA